TGCTAATGTAGTACCATCAGGGGAGAAGTTGACTGATTGAATTCCTTTTGAATGCAATTTGAATTTTTATTATTCTGAATTAAAATCAAAGAATTTGACTGACTTGCCTTCTTTAAAAGGAAATTCTAATTTGGCTTTTTATTATCCTGTTTTAGCATCCCATAAACGGATAGTGTCATCTTCACTACTAGATACTAATGTAGTACCATCAGGAGAGAAATTTACTGAATAAACAATATTTGAATGACCAAATAATTTGGCTTTTTATTATCCTGTCTAAACATCCCATAAACGGATAGTGTAATCTCCTTTATAAAATAACTCTTCACTACCTCTAATTAATTTATCTGCATTACCACTACTTGATGCCAATGTAGTACCATCAGGAGAGAAATTGACTGAATAAACCTCACTAGAATGACCATCTAAGTTATCTTTTTATTTTCCCGTCTTAACATCCCATAAACGGATAGATTTATCAGAACTACCAGATGCTAATGTAGTACCATCGGGAGAGAAACAGATTGAATTAACACTATTTGAATGACCATCTAATTTGGCTTTTTATAATCCTGTATGAACATCCCATAAACTAATTTCTTAATAACTACCAGATGCTAATGTAGTACCATCAGGAGAGTAACAAATTGAATAAACTGTATTAGAACCATCAAATTTGGCTTTCTATTATCCTGTCTTAATATCCCATAAACGGATAGACTTATCATCACTACCAGACGCTAATGTAGTACCATCAGGAGAGAAACCGATTGATGTAATTTTTCCAGTATGACCATCTAATTCAGATATTTATTTTCCAGCTTTATAGTTGAATAAATAAGCATTTGCTCTGCTACCGAAAGCTATAATATTATTATTGGGCGAGAAGCATACTGATTTCACATTATACTGACTTCTGATTATTTACTTTATTTTCCCTGTTTTCACATCCCATAAAAGGATGGATTTATCATCACTGTAAGAAGCTAATGACTTACCATCTGGAGAAAATTAAATATATTTGGCCTATTAACGATGAATGTTTATTTCACTTAACTCATTTATTCGCAAGTTCGTCCACTTACAATTTAATAATTTGGCTTAATTCAAATTTATACCACTAATAATGACATTGTCAAAATCAGATCCACTTAAGTCACATCTCACTAAATTAGCTCCAAACAGTGAAGTATTTCTAATTCTAATATTTTCAAAAGATTATTCCCTTAAGTCAACCTTCATTTAAACTAATAAATGAAGAGAATTTGATCCGCATTAAATGTATCTATAGTCTAGCGCTGTAATGCGAACTAAAAATTTTAGAAATTTTATAATTTTCTAATCCAGTGATATTTTTTTAATCAAATCTGTTTTAATTTTTTTATATTTATCTGATGAGTAATTCTGTTCATTAAATTCATGATCCTTAATTTTTTTGAGAACAAGCATAATTTTCTTAATGTTATTCATTCCAATATTGAGCATCTCTTCCTTTCCCAATAGTGAAGAATTTTCTACCTATTACATTTCAACTGCCCTTTGATTTTGAACTTATTAGAAAAATTGTAGACAATCTCCAATTCTTTTTTTTTTAACATTTCAAACATTACACTAAAAATTTATTCATCTAATTATTTTAATGAAGCAAAGGCCTCATACAGATCATTGCCTGATTTATACATTTTCAATTATTGTGGTGTTTTCACGATTCCACAGTTTCCCATAATATAAATTTAAATTAATATTAATTTCTATTATTATTTTTTGAATTTATTTTCTAAATCACAACAGTATCTTTCATGTTTTTCTTAGGATGAATTGCAAAGTTTTTAAATATTTGACTTTGATTTAAATTCTAATAGTGACAATTCACAGAAACTTGTGCTTACCATGAGATAGAGTAGAAAAAAAAGAAAAAAACAACACCCACTTAAAAAATCAATATTACAAGTTCATTTGATGATTCAACCTCAAAAAAGATGAATAGTTTTATTTCATGACATATTATTTACAAATCAAAAATTTTTGTATCACAATTCTTTCTCAACCCTTTTAAAAAAATTCTAATCTTAAATCTTTACAACCATTGAATTGATAAATTTCTTAAAAAATGCCATTATATATAGAAGGTGTTTCTCATTTGTTATATCTTATTTTCCATATCTGTTTAATTTAATTAATTTTTTTCCATACGTATATCTCTAATTCCATTTAAAAGTTATTATTTTCATTATTATTAATATTTTTCTATTTTTATTAAATATATATAAATAATATTGAATAGTTTTATTAAATATTATACCTCAACTTCAGGATAAGATATTTAATTTTAGATAACTAACTTTGGTAGAAAAATATTTGATCATTATGA